TTCTTATGCAGTTTACGTGAAAATTGCTTTACGTTTGTGTTAAGTGAACTGTGGGAAAGTGAAGAGTATAGTTTCATCCTACAAAAGCAAATTACAAACAATACTTTTGATTACTTTCCTAATATGCAGGACAATTTGGAAAAATAACCTAATTTTGTTTTTCAGACAGAGAAGTACGCAACAAAAATCTGTTCTCTTATCCAAGATTTCGGAAATAGATTCTGTGACTTCAAAAAATTAGAACAGTTGTAGAGTACTTGTCATTCCCGTTAAAATCAGATTCAGACATTAAGGAAACTGCAGCTACTATCTGTGGAAATTACCCACTGAGCAAGGCGTGTCTTGAAAATGAGATATTAACCCTTAAAAATGACATTTTTCTCAAGACTCGTGCTGGACAAGAATCGTTTTGGAAGTTAGTGCCTAGACACAAATTTCCAAACTTAAGAAATTGTACACCCCTGTTTCGGTTCAACGTATTTGTGTGAAACTGCGCTTTCTTACCTAAAAAAATGACAGAGTAAACAACGTTCCAACATGAGAGATGAACATCTCCAGGTCTGCCTGAAAGTGGCCCTCACCCAATACTCACCTGAATTCCAACAGTTGGTGAATGAAATGCAAGCCCAGACGTCTCACTAACCAACAAGTCTGTACTTTCAATGTATCTTGCTTTTACAACAAAAATTATGTGTCGTGTTATTTTCACCAATATTTTTGCTTAAAGCGAGGTACGACGATAGGAGGGCGTGGTAGATCACTGGAAGTTTTGACACTAAAAAGTCAGTCACAACCTGTTTGAAGTTGAACATGCCTGGTGTGTAGGATTAAGGACTTGAAAAAGCTGCCAAGGTCCACAAGGCCTGTAGAGCCATAGAGAGATAGATAAACAGACAGATATGTAAGTAGGTAAATATGCAGGTTGGTAGATGGACGGATGGATGAACGGATGGATGAACGGACAGACAGACGGATGGACGATTCGATGACATTATTCCAATCAGTTCGTGAAGTGGAAGCCAGTTGCAAGATACCTCAGATGACGGTCGCTAATTGAAGTTGCATTGCGAAGCGTGTTCAGTTGCACGCGATCTGTCTGCAAGATGAAATCCAGTTGTACCCAGAGTCTGGCTCTGGGCTGAAGGACATTTTGTATAGAGTGGTCTCGGTGTCGGACCGGAGCTTTCTTTGTTTCAGCACTCAGCAGTGGATGCACTCGGAGAGTTTCAGGAAGCAGGAGATTACAACGCAGGAGAAATTATACTGCGGCCATGAAAACTGCGAGATGTGTTTCCCACGAAAGTAAGAATGACGCCGTGTGCTTTGCTAGATATGTGTAAATTTTCTATCCCTCTACTCGTCCTCTGATTAGTATTGTCATTTCGTTTTGGGAGGAACTTATTATTACATGGTCACGTAAGGATGTATAGGGGATACAGTCTTAGACAAAAGTAGCTGAATTCCAATTTGACGAATATCTGCAATTTACATGTCTTAAAGTCAGAAGCGACGTAAGTTATAGTTAGAGACCTGAATTTTAATGTGGGAGTATTTTTTATTTTATCACATTTTTGGCTACATTTATCATTTACGTCACCCATTATAACAAAGTTTTGAGACTGAATCGAACCTGACTAAAAATTTAATTTAAATTAAATTATTTTCGTACAAAATAGTAAATCACGTTTTAATGTTAATAAAATGGTTGTTATTTATTATATGTATGAAAACTATTAATTTTATTTTATTCATTTCGATTATTGAATTGCTCTGAGAAGAATTAAACTCGACAACACTGTAGTTGTCCACAAATTGGCTGCCTTGCGCAGTTCAGTGGCCCCACATGAGTGGACCAGCGCCACAACTGAACCTTTAGCTCACGGGTTGTACAGTTGTCGCTTGATCGAAGCTACAGAGTGGCGCACGAAATTATCTAGTATTTGATCTATTAATAAAATCTTTATTTTAATCACAATACTAGAAACTAACATACAAAAGAAAGACCACTGCATGGAGATCTATCCTCTGTGAATCAAGTGCTTAATATGACCAGCATTACGTCTGGAAACTTCTTCAACACGAACGATGATGTGTCTACGTTAGCCTGTCAGAATTCCCCTCCGTCTCTTCGGTCGTGGTTCCCAACTTCTCCGCACCATCAGCATGTGCGCTGTAAACTGTTTCGATGCTCTGTTGTTTTCCATGTCTCCTCAGACATGGTTTTGTTTTCAAAATGGCAATAATTCTGTATAAATTTGATAACTGGTTCAGTATTCTGAAAATATAATCATTTCACAGCACGCTGGAACAAAACTTTCAGTTCCATTCCCACGTGAGTTAATTACAAAAGTCACTTCATAACACAGAACACAGAAATATAATGCATCTGAGCTGTGTTACAAAGTTTCCTGTGAAATCTCAGAGAGCATGGGCACGTGGGTCGGTCCCCATTGAAGCTGAAAAGTTCACGTGGAGCCGTAACGTGACGTGCGTGTTGCTCTGTAGCGGTGTAGACGCCTAATATTGCCCACAGCCATCCGTCTCTTGTCTCGAGTCACTTGTACAGATGCAGTATCAGTTTCAGTGTGGCTGCAGAGACAGCGCTAACACTTCTGACTTGTATGCAGATGTTGCTCGGTTGAGACACCGACTATCCTAATTTCAGGTGTCCGTGGGGTTCCTCAGTTTTTCCAGGTGAATTCCAGGATATTAGCCTGAATTAGTTCACGACAGTTTCCTTTCATATCCTTACCGATTCAATATTCACAGTTATCCAGCATTTGATGTTATTTAGTCTGAGATTATGACAGCGTCATTAAATAAATTACGTCTCGGTTTCGATTCCCGATGAGGTAATCGGATTTTTCATTTGATCTAACCCTTCAAGCGGCGCTTTGGCTCTGGGGTTCACTCAGCCACTAGTAGAAATCAGTATCAGGAATCTCCCTGGGGGTAAGGGGCGGCCGACGCGTAAGGCTGACAACTTCCCCGCCAGCTGTGAGCAGATTGTCTAGCAAATTGTGGGAGCCTCGACGACTCACAATCCTATGGGCGTCCATGCCCCGTCACGGGGACAGCTTTACCTATTTACCTTGCAAATAATACAGGGTTATTCATAAGTCCGTGAAACATTTTGAAAATGTACAATAAATAAACTACGCAACGGACACCAAATTTTATTAACCTGAAATAGAGATAAGCTCACCAAGTTTTTTTCTACATAATTCACAGATGCTCAATGTGTCCACCTTTGCTGATACGGCAGACATCTGTTCGATAATCCATTTCGTCCCACACCAGGGTCAGCATATCGCGGTTGACCCGAGCCCCAGCAGCGGTGATACGGTTGCGAAGGTCCCTGAGATTAGCAGGCAATGGGACTTAAAATAAACTTGGAGAGATTCATTCTCTATCGGCTTAAGAATTACCATGACCCGATGCATAGTTTATTTGTCGTGAATTTTTAAAATGTTTCACAGACTTATGAATAACCTGTATAAAACAGATATGAAGTTACACTGTAGCACTCTCCGTCGCGTGCTAAGAACAAAGCCAGCCCTCGTCAGTTGAGGCTGTGATGCTGGAATGTACAGAGCACCCAACCGCCAGTCACACTGTCCACGAATGTCGCGTTTCACACGTGGCACATAAATCGTACTGCTAGCGAGGGAACACGCAGTTGATATTCGCGGTCTGTACAAAGTGTTCGCTTTCGGGACTTGCCATTTATTTCGGCCTGCAAATCATTAGCCATCATTAGCCGGAAAGAGGGTAGGCCCGCATGGAACTCCAGTCAACGTCTTTAGGGCCCTGCGCCTCATTCTTCCTGAAGACGGAAAACGAAATGTACGCAAGAACGTGGTGGTAACTTCAACACACGGCGTGACTAAACAACAAAATAAGCTGATAATGATAATTCAGTAGGATCCGGTATGTTGCCATCAGTGCAGTGCACTTTGTGATATTATATTTAAGCATCCTGTTGCACTCCGTACGATAAATGATATGAACTCCGTCCCAAGTGCAAACACTATAGTATATGTCCTTGATCTTGCTCTCCTATACACTACATGTTTCGGCCTCAAACGGCCATCATCAGGTGTGTACACTCACGTTGCTGTTACACAGCACTTAGTTTAAAATTTAACATCTAAAAACACATTGTTCCTTTCCTTGTTATTATCAACATCTAGTTCGTTGATATCTGTCTGGTTTATAGATTATTTTTGTTACACACGTTGGCACTTATAAAATCTTTAGTTCTAATTTTAAAATCGTATAAACTGGAGTTCCACAGGCGCTGCTTGGAGACGTGCCTTTAGCTGTAAGGCAGAGTTGCAGCGCACTATAGGGAACATGTCCGTCATATCCAGGTAGGCAGAGGGCCGAATGTATGGCCTCCTCTGTCGCCGGACCTAACTGCCAAGAACGTCTCCCTGTGGGGATACGCGGAGGAATACGTTTATGCAGTCCCGCCCAGCATTACAAGACTCCAAGCTGTCGTGACAGTGGCAACTGCCAGAAAGTCACGTGTGTTGCAGACAACGCGGGCTTTGGACAAAGTGGCCCTGGGGCAAGTGTGCCGAGTACTGCGGTTTCCCCTGCGAATTCTCATTCCACCGACTGCTCCATACTCATCATCTATCGTCCGGGGCTGGTACAACAGGCCAAAGATTGGCCGCAGTGCCAAGTGGACTCAGCTTCACCCCGTGAGAGAATCGAACGGAGGCCACCTCGAACGCCCGTAGTTTGACCATCTGATGCTGACACGTACCTTGACAACTAAACGTCACATGGCATATGTTGTTTATTATTTTCGACTTGTTTATTTTTAATAAGGAATCACTATGTAACGCTTGTAAGCGAAAGTCGTTTCACGTTGTGTAAGCCATATCTTTCTGACACGTTAATACTGAATGCTTTCAGTAATTTTAGATATATGTAAGGTGTAATGGCATGGGCATATTTGCTGTGTAAAATATATTGAGCATATCATATGATTATGTATGAAAACTACATTTACTCTGATCATAAATGCCTGGATTCTCATTAGAACTTCAGCAATGAAATTACACCTGTCACTTCACAGTAACCGGCCACAAATAAAATTGCATCTTATTCGTTCTTCCTCTGTGCCAGCGCTGACAGCACCATCTGTAGTCCTTCTTGTGCGACGCGCACCGCCTCTTTCATCTCTGTCTCCAGCTCCTCCTTTCTTGCCGTGTCCCTCAAACCTTGCAGATTGATGGCGACATTGTAATACGCACCCCATACACTGGTCTCCAAGCACCGCGCGCCAACCTGTCAACAAGACCGTCTGTTACTGCAGTGTTGACCTAGCACGTGTCATTTCGAGCAGAGACCAATCGGTGTCTTCACCCACCCCCACAAGCTGCCCGTTGGTCACAGAATTGGTGCCACATGTGCTCTGCACAAAGCCAGGCAGCAGGCTGACCCGCTTCACCTCTCACAGTCTCACTGACCTGATGCAGATAACTGCAAATGCGGGCTGTGTGGCGGAGCAGGGAAAGCACGGTCGGTATGGGGAGTGTTGCTGCATCACGATAGGAGAGGTTCATAAGCTCGGGTTGCTGGCATGACGCACAAACCGGGTTTTGTGACAAGCGAGTCGGTATTGCGTCGAAACAGTTACCACCACCAACAGTGTTACCAATCTTGCTACGGCACAGATGTGACTGCGCCGTATGCACATCGTACACAGTAAGCGCTGCATTACTGATTCTTACGCTTATCCGCCTCCGGTAGCCAATTCGCGAGTGAGTTTACTAATTATTCATAAAGGCTACATGTTCCGTCAGATGGCACAGTGTCAGTTGTATGGTCATGACAGATGAGTGGGAATGGTGCTTTAAAATTGCTAATAAAAGCTATCCTTGTATCAGGTCGTGGAGGCCCATAGGGTTGTGAGACGTCGAGACATTTTCTAGACAATCGGCTCGCAAATGGCGGAGAGTTCAGCCTAAAGCGCCGGCCGCTCTTTACCCCCCAGGAAGATTCCTTCTACTAATTTCTTTTAGGCGCTGAGCCGACCCCAGGGCCATAGTGCGGTTGGGAGGATTAGGAAAATTGAAGAAATCCCATCACCTCGTCGGGAATCGAACCCGCGACCTTCAGGCTTGTAGCATAGTGCCTCAACCAACTACTCCAACACATTTCTCTCAAAATTAGTAATACAATTAAAACTGATTAAATTCGAGTTAATTACAATTGAAACCCAGCGTTGCTGACATCGTTGTGCAGTTAAGCACTGGCGAACACTCAGTATAACAACACCTCTGGCTGGCTCCGTACAGAAGGTGGATAAACGCAGACAAGTGAACCAACGCGGGAGAGCGCCATAGAGAAATTCGGAACTCTGACAGGATTTAGAAAGGTGCATACTTGCAAGTCAGAAGCAGTCCCCATGTTGCACACCCTCGCCAGCTGCACGAGGGTGGGCCACAGGTAGTTCACTTCCTTCACAACACTGTAAGGAACTTGTGTGGCCTTCAGGAGACCTTCCTGTAATGCTTGGTCCCTCACAGCTTCCTCTTCCGCTGTTCTCTTAGGCAGCTTCAGGGCATCCTGAAATGAGTTTCAGAAGTCAGACAACCGTTGCAAGTAACTCGTCGTTTAATTAGTAGACATCGTGGTTCCGAGGGATTGCAATGGGCAGTGGTAGGCTGCTGTGAATATGATAATGAATTTCCGGCTAGTATAAATTTTTACCGAGCTGAGTGACCACAAGCTTGTCAGGGATTATTGTGCTCATTTTGTAAATTCTAGCGGATTAGAACGTAAAATTCTAATTCCATCAGTGGACGTATTGCGGGCAAGCGTAGTTGATAGAGGCACTAATGCTACAAGCCCGAAGGTCGCGGGTTCTATTCCGGATGAGATCATTGGGTTTTTCAGTTGACCTACCCCTTCCAGCCGCACTATAGCACTGGGGTCGACTCAGCCTCTAACAGAAATAAGTACCAGGAATCTTCCTGAAGTTAAAGGGCGGCCGGCGCGTAAGGCTGACAACCTCACCGCCATCTGTGAGATGATTGTCTAGAGAAAATGTGGGAATCTCGACGTCTCACAACCCTGTGTGCCTCCACGGCCTGTTACAGGGACAGCTTTATCAGTATAAGGATTATTGTAGTCGTGGACATTCCCACCGCGGCGGCCCGGGTTCGATCCCGGGTCTGGTCAACTGGCATTTGTGGTAGACAAAGTGGCGCTGGGCCGAATTTTCTCCGAGTACTTCGGTTTCCCCTGCCAATCTTCATTCCACCAAATTCTCCATCATCATAATCACCCGGGGCAGGCTACAATAGGCCAATCAGTGGCCGCCGGGCCGAGTGGACCCAGTTGGCCTCCACCCCCCACTAAGCAAATTAAAAAATTAGTCGTGGACATTGATTTTATTTGTCAACGTCAACATACCACCTCTCTCCACTGGCGCATAGTGCTAACCCTCGCTTCCCCGCTGGAGGAAGAAAGACTCCGGCGTGGACGAAATGTGGAGGGGATGATGGCCTTGGTAGGCCAGAAGAAATGTACCAATTACAGCAACGTGTCTATAACATGTCACCACCAAACGCCGCGCCATAGCTCAAGCGGTTAGTCACTGGCTTCCCACCGCGGCGGCCCGGGTTCGATCCCGGGTCTAGCCAAGTTCGATTTGTGGTGGACAAAGTGGCGCTGGGGAAGGTTTTCTCAGAGTACTTCGGTTTCCCCTGCCAATCTTCATTCCACCAATTGCTCCACAATCACCCTCACCTATCATCTGGGGCTGGTACAATAGGCCAGAAGTGGCCGCAGTACAAGGCACTTAGTCCTACCCCACTAGCAATAAAAAAACATGTCACCACGGTACAAATCTCATAATGAGTCATCACTTAGACCACCAATTAATGATTAATGAAATAATTTAATTAGCGATGTTAATGAAACGTATCAGAAAATCAGTACAGCTTGCGAGCTCATAAATTTTTCCATCAAAATTTCCATAATGTTTTTAGGCAAAACATAATTTTTACATTCTTCATGTTACTTTCCCAAAAATTCCCGACATACAACGCGCCACTGTCATCACGTTCATAACTTTGTTTGACCAACTCCCTGGAGCAGGGTCCTTTTTCAGAAACTAATAGCGACTGAGCCAATCAAAACCTCCCTTCATTACCGTGATCACAAATTCCTTTCACTTTTCCCATCTTGAGCCAGGTTAATCCAATCAGATTCTTCCAGCCCTCTTTCTGTAAATTACATTTTAATATTATCCTCTCACTTATTCCAAGACTTCCCTTTGAATTTTCCGATAGAAATGGAAAATACTTTTCTCATCTCCCCGTGCGTGTTACACATTGCGCCCATCTTATCGTCCCTAAACTTATTTGTTGAAGTGTACGGAGTATATATCACCCCATTACGGAATTTCCTCCAGTCTCTCCCTTAGGTGCACATATTCTCCTCAACACCCCGCTTCCAAACACCCCATCCAGTGTTCTTCCCTTAACGTGGCCGACCAAGTGCATAATTGCATCAGAGAACAAAGAGACAATTCGCGTCGAGATCTTTAAAGCGGAACTGCCGTTCTGTCTGTGGCGAAGAATGTGATGTCGTGTAGTCTGGTAGAAACTTAGTAACTCTCGATGGAACCACTTCACTTCATTTTCAGGGAACTGCAGTACTATCCTGAAGACGGATTCGGTTGATTTCTAGAAAAGGGGTAAAGTTCTACCAGACTATACGACGTCACAGCCCAAATCACAGTAATCTCAGAAGCTCTTGTCATGTGATAACTTAGCCTAGTACACAGGCACATAGTCACCATATATTGCTTGAAGGTTGCTGCGTCGGCGTCTACGAGCGGCAGCAAGTTGTTCATGGCGTCGTGTACGATGGGTAGCAGCTGTCTGATTGTGGCGTCCAGAGGCTCGAACTGACGCTTCCCGTAGGTCATTTGTCCGACCATTGTGCCGAGCGCCGCGCCCTGCAACATGACACAGTGTGACGGCGACATGTTGAACTGGCAATGCCCAGACACAGCTGTCGGGATGGGAGGAGAAATCACGCAAGAGAGGAAGAGCGTACCAAATGTGCCCTCATGTCGAATGCAAAATTTCTTCAGAGGGTCCTCACAGTGAGCACTTTGTGCCCAAAATACTTACACGAAAATAACCATGTGAGTTTAATTCACTCGATAAATATGGCCAAATAAAACCTCAATCACGAAAATCAGGGAACGTGTTTGAGAAGACGGTTATGTAAACAAACAGAATGCTCTGTGCAGCTGATTTCAAATCACCAGTGGCACGAGAATTGCCGACTAAAGCCCAGTTTTGAGATGTCATCGCAGAAAAAGATTCGCATGCGTTATATGAGGTGACGATATTGCATATGAAACCCTGGTTATCGGGGAAACCTGTCAAAACTAGTTTGAGCTGGATGCCGAAGTGAAAGCTACAACGACCATGTCGACATGACGGAAATAGTCTATAAGTCCAGGTGTCGTCCTCAACAGTTTGCTTCCATACGCCATCGATTTCTGTATCTCCCTCGACGGGACACTCACATGTCTCTGAAGTAATGTATACAGCTACAGACGTCTTGATTAGAATTTTGGGGGCCAGACGAGGAGAGGCAGCGTGACCTCCAGCTTGACTTCAATACCAGGTGTAGTACAAATGTGTTAAGTAGAGGTGTACAACTTGAAACATCTGAGGGTTTTAAAAACTTTAAAATTTTAAAACTTTAATGTGAGTTGCGCAGTAAAGAGGTTGGTCTAGAAGTAAACACAGAGAGAACTAGGTATATATTGCTGACTCTTGACCGAAATGCAGGGCAAAGACAGATAGCAGAGGTTTTGAAAATGTGGCACAGTTCAGATATTTGGGAACGACGATAACAAATCAAAACCTGATTCAGGAAGAAATTAAGAGGAGATTGAACTCGGGTAATGCTTGCTATCAATCAGTCCAGAACCTTTTGTCTTCTCGTCTGCTGTCCAAAAACATAAATATTAGAATATACAAAACTATAATTTTGCTTTTGGTTTTGTATGGGTGTGAAACTTGGTCTCTGACATTAAGGGAGGAACATAGACTGAGGGTGTTTGAGAACAGGGCGTTGAAGAGAATAGTTAGACCGAAGAGAGATGAAGTGACAGGAGATTGGAGAAAACTGCACAGTGAGGAGCTTCATAACTTGTACTCTTCTCCAAGTATAATTAGAATGATCAAGTCAAGGAGGATGAGGTGGGCAGGGCATGAAGCACGAATGGGGGAGGCGAGGAATGCATATAGAATATTGGTGGGAAAGTCAGAAGGAAAGAGACCACTGGGAAGACCAAGGCGTAGGTGGATGGAAAATATTAAAATGGATCTTAGAGAGATAGGATGGGATGGTATGGATTGGATTGATCTGGCTAAGGATAGAGACCAGTGGAGGGCTCTTGTGAACACGGTAATGAACCTTCGGGTTCCATAAAATGCTTGAGAAATTCTTGAGTGGTTGCACAATTGGCGGCTTCTCAAGAAGGGCTCAACTCCATAAGATTTTTTTTTAATTAAAGACTGGGTAACCCAGAACTTAATTACAATTAAAACTAGTTGGGTAACTAACGATTAATTTTATTAACCTAACATGCTACGTAAATTAAAACTAAGTCACTTCCACTGAATTACTTAGTAGTACTTCAACATTTAACTAGTTCGAACGGTTTCTTCCGTTTGAGTCGTCTAATGATATTGTTCACGTTGAGAAGTCTGGACGCTTCAATGTTGACATGGTTTTGGAATCTCTTTTCATGAGAGGTGGCGGACTTAGCGATGATATCTGTAACCGTCTCGATCCCAAGGTCACTGTTACACGAACGTACCCTGGTGCGCTGACAACACACTTTAGCACTTTGTTCTGATAGCGTTGAATCACTTGAATGTTGGATTCACTGGTGAAGCCCCAGAGCTGGATACCATAACTCCAAACTGGACCTAGAGTTTGTTTGTATAATGTAAGTTTATTGTGGACTGATAGCTCAGAATTGCATCCAAGCAACCAATACATTTTTCTGAACTTATTGTTGAGCTCATCACATGCTCCATAAGTAAGTATTTTTTTTATTGCTAGTGGGGTGGGACTAAGTTCCTTGTACTGCGGCCACTTCTGGCCTATTGTACCAGCCCCAGATGATAGGTGAGGGTGATTGTGGAGCAATTGGTGGAATGAAGATTGGCAGGGGAAGCCGAAGTACTCGGAGAAAACCTGCCCCAGCGCCACTTTCTCCACCACAAATCCTACTTGACCAGACCCGGGATCGAACCCGGGCCGCCGCTGTGGGAAGCCAGCGACTAACCGCTTGAGCTATGGCGCGGCCTTCGTAAGTAAGTAAGTAAGTAAGTAAGTAAGTAGTGTGAGTTGCGCGCGAGACGGCAGTGAATATGAAAATACAATACTACCTTCAGGGATGTGTAATATGTAATATTGTACGTAATAATGTAGAAAGGTCCCAGTGCTTCGGAAGAAACTGTGCCTTCACCTTCACGGTAGAAGCCAGAAGTAACGGTTACGTATATTTCTACGAGATTACTCAATGTAACATCCCAGCAATGTGTATTAATATTGTCTCAATGTACCTGAGCTTTGTCACCTTTTCAAGTGACCCTCCATTCATTAGTATATAGGCCTATGAATTTGCTGACGTCTGGAACTGGAGAAAAGTAAGGCTAGTCATTTGGAAAGGTGTCATGTCACCAGTTATCAGCTTCCCCCCCCCCCCCCNAGAAGATGATTTCGGAACTACATGTAACGGTGTTGCGTTGTTTTATATTCTGTTGTGGTGTGGTGTGTTGTGTACAGAGAACGTCATACTTAATTTTCCATTTCTTAAACCAGCATAATTCATTTTCATCAATTGATATTTCACAAATAGTACGATATTTTGAGAATTATAATCAATTCACTTTCACGGAATATCTCGTCCCCTCTCTGTCCCCCCGCCTCCAGATAACTAGTTTCGCCCGTCACCGGGGTAGGGAACCTTCTCAAATATCTGCGCTCAATGTCCGGATGTAACTCACGAGAGCGGCTAGCAGCGCCGCGACGGATCCTCCTCCTGGTGCGGGCGTCCGAGCTCCAACAGCACGCACAAAGCTTTCTGTTGGGAGACGCACCAGTGACCCTGAGGACGTGCTGCCCAATCGGTACTCGATCACGCGTTCCCTGAGACAAACAAACAGCAATATCTTCAATTCTAGGGAACTTGTGACTCTGCTAATCACCTTCTTATAATGCGAATGGCACTCATCAGGGTTGAAGCACTTAATTTATCTGTTACTGGTCTTAAGACGATATTTCGGAGGAACGTACCGCTTCCATCTTCAGGACAGATGAATAGGGTATGTAAGAAAACAAGAAGAAAGAAATCAGCAAGCAGAACTCACTGGCTCACTGTACTTTTCGATTCTCTGAATAAGATCGAGGCAGTAAAATCCTCCGAAACGTCGGTAAACCTTTAGCACATCTGACATGTTCAGACGCGAGGCTCTTAGTGCTCATAGCAGAGTGGCGCAGTGGAAGCGTGCTGGGCCCATAACCCAGAGGTCCGTGGATCGAAACCACGCTCTGCTAATTTTTTCTTTGTTATATTTAATATTCTCTTTTTCGCTGAGTTAAACAGCGCATGCAGTCAGAAAGACCTTCCTTTCCGGGTTGGCAGTATCCTTAATATTATGGGACATTATAACTCACAATATTTTAATTGCGCTCATTAACAGATGCCATTCCAAACACAGCCGTGAACCCCCCCCCCTCCCATCTTTATACTAGCAGTTAGATGGGAATTGTGTGATGAACACAGAGTCACTTATGGTCGTATCGTGGTCTTTTAAGATAGGAAGTCTGGTAGATGTGTACCGACGTTTTCGACAATTATCCTGCACCCTGAAGATGGAGGCTAAATGTTCCTCCTTGTAGGAGACCACAACACGCTCCCGTAACACAGGAAACTGCGGTAGAGGATACTCGGGTAACACTGGAAGCATTCTGGGAGTGTGACCTCAGAGGTTTATACGTTCAAATTTATTTATTGCAGGGAATTGTTTTTAGTTTTACTGCGTATTGAAAATTTAACAATTAGAATGATCAAGTTAAGTAGGATGAGGCGGGCAGGACATGTAGCACGAATGGGGGAGATGACGAATGCATATAGGATATTGGTGGGAAAGCCGGGAGGAAAGAGACCACTGGGAAGACCAAGGCGTAGGTGGGTAAATGGATCTTACACCCGCAGCCAAAAAGGGAACACACATCACGAGACACGATATACACGGAGTATAAGAGGAACGACTCCCATAGTGGAGGAACCATGCGCGGGTTTGAATTGGGACATATAAGATGAATATCTTAACAAGATTTTAGTGTATAAAAATTTATTATAATTGAGGAATATTTTAAATATTTTTTAAATAATATTACAATGACATAATGGCAAGCAATGCAGTAGATTAACGTAAATGGAGCACCTGATGATGGCACTATGTTGCCGAAACATGTTGTGAAATAACAAGTGAAACTGAGTGCACTACAAGACGGCCACTGTATAGATATCATGGACGAAAATCAGTGCAACAGGACGCTAAAATACAACATTATGGATCTTAGAGAGATAGGATGGGATGGTATGGATGTCATTGATCTGCCTCAGGAAGGGGCTCTTGTGAACACGGTAATGAACCTTAGGATTCCATAAAATGCTGGGAAATTCTTGAGTCGCTGCAAATTTGGCTTCTCAAGAAGTGCTCAGCTCCATAAGTAACTAAGTAAGTAAAATTGGAAATTTAACTTACTTGGACATGGGAGATAGCCGTAAATCAGGATTAATCAGGATCGCTAGATCAGATAGTCACTCTGCTAAGCACGTGCAGAACACGTGTTGAGTCCATGAGTGAACGAGGCAGTTCTGCTGAGTTAAAGAGGCAGACGCAGTTTACCTGACGAGAATCTAGATGGACATACTAAATTCATGCGTTAAGCAAAGCTGCAGGCCAGCCATTATGGCGGCGTTTGATGAAATACTGTTGCGAGCAATCGCTGTGGGATAAAGCCAAATAGCAAGTGGAACTTAACTTTATCTAACTAAATAGACCGAATTATCCGTGTGGCTAACACAGATATGGCATGAGGCTCAAGAAGGTGGAGTGATCTTGCTGACCGCGATGATAGGCTAAATTAGAATTTAAGGAACATTTGTAGCCGCAGAAATAGTGTCCAGATTAGTGTACACCATACATTTATCTGGTAGGGCACGGCACGCATCCCACTACACAATGCACTGCTGTAACTTTCGGGTAGGCACGGCAGACAGAGTTTTAACAAGACAACGCACTACTTCATTGCTAGAATGAAGACCAGTGTGTTGACCTAAACCCGACGCCAGTGCTGTGAGCTAAAGAACCCCCGAAGAGAGAGAGTAAACAAATTCACACTATCAAAATGGCCTCAGAACGCCACCCATCCAACATGGCTGCCGGAGTGTGGCAGCTACATTAGGAAGTAACGGGAGCTCCTAGGAACCATTATATTATTTTGGACATTAAACATCGTCATGAGACTTCGTGAAGTTTTGTGTCATTGCTTTGTAAAATGTACGTGCCCTGCATAACCTAAACGTGCGACTGAAGTCTCTCTTATAGTCAAGCAGCAGTGGAAGCGTGCTGGGCCCATAACCCAGAGGTCCGTATATCGAAACTACGCTCTGCTAATCGATAAATATTTTGCTATGTGTTGTGTTGCAGCACACAGTGGAATGTTATCATAAAGGCCTCTGTTCATATCCCAAACACCGTTACTTGGTGGACAGGATTTTTGCTGAAGCAAGCTCCTAGGGCAGCGACTCGCATGTTGTTCCGTCTGAATTCTCTGCTCAATTCTTGTTTACAGAGGAACGCCCCGTGAAATCTCAGTTATTCAACACCCGTGGTATTCTCGAGGAAATACTCGTCAAATGTTGTTTCGGGACCCCGCGCGGCCAAATTAAGTTGGAAATCGCTGACTGAAACCAGCCGTGCACTAACTAGGATACTGCAAATTCTTACACCAAATTAATTCAAATATTGGCAAGTAAGTACCCAAAATGTTCATAGGCATAGTTTTGTTTATAACTATTTCATATGTTATCCTATACACAATTAAACAGTTAATAGTCACTCAGTCACGTGACTATGAATTCTGTGAGTACTGACAAGATTAAATGTCAGAGAGGGTGTATGATTGACTATTTGTGGTTGTTATTCGTGAGAGATGGCTTCAGATTTCTGACTCCGCCTAACGTTTGACAAGAAGTAGCACTACAAAGGAATACGGGATAGAGCAAGGGGAGTTAACACTACGAAATATTACTTATCAAGTGATGAGACCTCTCGACCAATTCTCAGTGAGAGATAAACCGCTAACAAAGAACAAATCTGATCATTGCTTTACACTGGAGCATACTTCAAGGACCTTCATATAAAATGGAAACACGACAGGCACGGTAATCACCAATGCTGAACAAACCACACCCACTCCAGTACATGAAGCAGCGTTGCCTGCCAGAACATCCCGCATTACTTACAAATCCGAAACGGTCTTTTACAACCCTAGCAGAGTGGCGCAGTGGAAGCGTGCTGGGCCCATAACCCAGAGGTCCGTGGATCGAAACCACGCTCTGCTAATCTTAAGTTTTTGTGCAGTTTTTTTTTCTTACGCTAGGCAGTGAAGTATTTTTCGAAAACTTTCCTTCCTGTTCCATACCATTACCTAGTGTGGGGCGTTTCTGATGGTATGGTCGGTGAAGACTAGGCTGTGTTTGTTGCTGGACTGCGAGATGTCTGGAAGAGTCGTGTCAGTAAACCAGTGTGGGTTGACGTGTAGATTTCCCCCACATTTATTTTACACAATCTGCGGAGTCTGCAATAAATGTACACGTTCCATGAGCACTGGCTCGCGAATGAGTTATGCCCAGTGGCGTTAATCGTATATTCATTTAGTTTTCATTTAGGTATCATTTTAATTCTTTTATTGGAGTTTTACTCAGGTCTGTCTGGTAGAGTTAGGACGGTGTATCTTTTCAGTCTCTGTGTAGTTTACGCTATTGTCTAGTGGGTTCACTGCTAGTGCATGGGCGTGGCTTTTTAATTTTCTTAAGTATTTGGCATTCCGCTTTTTTATTTCACTGAGCACTGTGTTCACTTGTAGATGTTCAAGGTTCCTGTGGATGTTTATGTATCAAGGTGCGTTCACAATGGATCGGAGAGTTTTGGATTGAAAACGCTGGAGGATAACGTGTAGTTACAGTGCAAAGCATATTCACCAAAAGCTAACTGTTGACGATGGTATGTTACAATGAACTCGGCTAGTGTTCTTTGATATTCTTTGATGTGTTGCGTTGTTTCCGTCATCACATGCAGGCAAGGAAATTTTCTTACTTAGTTACGCCTGTTTGAATGGTTTGCTTTCGATCACTGGACCAATCAGTTTTCCCTTCAGAAATGCAGTACGACGGACCGTGTCCACAGAACAGGCATACTTACAGCAACGCACCGTCCTCGGGAACTGAACTCATGACGCTGTATTCCGAAGCAGAACATAAACATTACTCTTGTAGTCTCTCAAATTCAGATTCTTCGCAGGCTGAATCCAGAATAAGCACCTGGTTCCAAAATTCCGATATCTTTAAGTTGCACTAGGAACAAAAAAAAAAAAGTCGCCCCCGGGTGGGCTCGAACCACCAATCTTTCGGTTAACAGCCGAACGCGCTAGCCCATTGCGCCACGGAGGCCTCTGCTCAGTCATCCCCACTGTCTCTATCGTCCCAGTTTGTGCCACTGCACTGCAGATACGTATACCTACCCGGGGTTGACATAGGCCACACAGACTTGGCCACAGGGGCACGCCTACTGCATTTATACGGGACAAACAACTTGGCCCTTGTCTGCGTGTCACAGTTCTCAGATGCATAAGCTGTACAAATTAAGGTGATGTTAAGATCAGTACGCTTCAGAATTTGTGTTACGAGACACGTTTCATGGCCGCTCAGAACGCTTCAGAACTTGTTACGAGACACGTTTCATGCAGTTCAGAACGCTTCAGAACTTGTGTTACGGAACACGTTTCATGCAGTTCAGAACGCTTTAGAACTTGTGTTGCGGAACATGTTTATGCAGTTCAGAACGCTTCAGAACTTGTTACGAGACACGTTTCATGGCAGCTCAGAACGCTTCAGAACTTGTGTTACGAGACACGTTTCATGGCAGCTCAGAACGCTTCAGAACTTGTGTTACGGAACACGTTTCATGCAGTTCAGAACGCTTCAGAACTTGTGTTACGGAACACGTTTCATGCAGTTCAGAACGCTTCAGAACTTGTGTTACGGAACACGTTTCATGCAGTTCAGAACGCTTCAGAACTTGTGTTACGGAACACGTTTCATGCAGTTCAGAACGCTTCAGAACTTGTGTTACGGAACACGTTTCATGCAGTTCAGAACGCTTCAGAACTTGTGTTACGGAACACGTTTCATGCAGTTCAGAACGCTTCAGAACTTGTGTTACGGAACACGTTTCATGCAGTTCAGAACGCTTCAGAACTTGTGTTACGGAACACGTTTCATGCAGTTCAGAACGCTTCAGAACTTGTGTTACGGAACACGTTTCATGCAGTTCAGAACGCTTCAGAACTTGTGTTACGGAACACGTTTCATGCAGTTCAGAACGCTTCAGAACTTGTGTTACGGAACACGTTTCATGCAGTTCAGAACGCTTCAGAACTTGTGTTACGGAACACGTTTCATGCAGTTCAGAACGCTTCAGAACTCGTGTTACGGAACACGTTTCATGCAGTTCAGAACGCTTCAGAACTCGTGTTAATGGAACACGTTTCATGGCAGTTCAGTACGTTTCTGAACTTGTTTCGAAACACCTTTCCTGGCAGCTCAGAACGCTTCAGAACTTGTGTTACGAGACACGTTTCATGGCCGCTCAGAACGCTTCAGAACTTGTGTTACGAGACATATTTCATGGCAGCTCAGAAAGCATCAGAACTTGTGTTACGAAACACGTCTTCTTGCTAGTGGGATGGAACTCTTATTTTTTTATTGCTAGTGGGGTGGGACTAAGTTCCTTGTACTGAGGCCACTTCTGGCCTATTGTACCAGCCCCAGATGATAGGTGAGGGTGATTGTGGAGCAATTGATGGAATGAAGATTGGCAAGGTAAACCAGAGTACTCGGAGAAAACCTGCCCCACCGCCACTCTGTCCACCACAAATCCCACTTAACCAGACCCGGGATCGTAACCGGGCCGACGCGGTGAGAAGCCAGCGAATAGCCGCTTGAGCTATGGCGCAGCCTACTAAACACGTTTCTTGGCAGTTGTGAACTTGTGTTGCGAAACACGTTTCATGGCAGCTCAGTACGTTTCTGAACTTGTGTTGCGAAACACGTTTCATGGCAGCTCAGTTTATTTCTTAATTTGTGTCACGAAACAAGTTTCATTACAGCTTAGCATGCTACTGAACGGGCGTTACTATGTAAACGTCCAACCTCTCAAAGCACAGAAACCCTGACAGTACTCAGTGTGTCGCATAGCAGAGTGGCGCAGTGGAAGCGTGCTGGGCCCATAACCCAGAGGTCCGTGGATCGAAACCACGCTCTGCTAATTAAGTTATTCCTTTTCGTAAAATATTTTATTTTAGTATTTCGACTTGAGATTGATATATGTCTTAAAGACCTAAATATTTTGCATAATTAATTTTGATGTGTTCATATGTAGCAAAATCCTGCGAAATCTTTTAAGTTTCTGTCTCCATTGCGCTGAATAACCTAACATTACATTCGCTTACAGAATCTATCACTCGCCCATAACGCATCTGTACCATGTCCCTCTCCTTGGCCGGCTACCGCGTTCTCCTGTTGGCGGTGATACACGGAGCGGTTTTCGCCGAGTCGGCCGCAGCCAGGGCTGGCTTCTCGAATCTAACAGGGGCGAGATATTTTATTCGCAGTGCGGGCTATAGTTTCGGCCGTGTGGCGCAGAATTCACTTCCCATTGACTGAAGCGACGCCAGTTGCCCCTTCGTGTCTCAGACTGTCTGAATACCCACGCTACTCGAGTTTGCAGTTAGTTAAGAGTCAGTAAGTCACGTTTCTTCTCCGCTCTTTATTTTTCCAGGGCAGAAATTTACATTTTTAATCGTATCTCTTTCCCAGTAAAGCATTGTGGCGTGTAGATCCATTGTTAACCTGTGACTCTGTATACAGCGACAGTTTCTGGGCAACGGCTCTGTAAACATCCCGTTGCTGAGCAACAGAATCTTAATAACGCAACAGTTGGAGGCAACAATAGAAGAACTGTGTTTTCTACGTAGTCCGTGCCGAGATGTTATACGCAAGGGATAAAACTAGTCACTTGAGTTCTTTAGGTGAGGCTGTGAAAAAAAGATTTCGTTGCAAGAGTGCTCATTTGAAAGCCCGGGCTGTGAAGAGAGACTTTATGTGTGATATCTGGAGTGTGTGTAATCCAGTGAGACAGCTCCTGTATTAAAACCCGTTACTAGGAAACGGCTAGTGGAGACTGTAATAGACTGAGAACAGTAATTTGTGTGTGTGTGTGTGTGTGTGTGTGTGTGTGTGTGTGNGATTTGTGAATTGTGGAGATTAGCGATTGCGTTGTAATTACTTATACTTACGAGTCGTGTGTATAAGTGGTCAATAAATCAAATATTCAATCCACAACCCCGTCTACAGTCACACATACACGTGACAATATCTCAGATGACACAAGAAGAATTCTCTTTTTATCAACAGATAATCACAGTGACAGAGCATAGAACGCACGGGGCCCATCCTCTTGTCTCATTGGCTATTTTCGTTGCAGCGAAATGTTTGAGACCCAATCAGCTTCCTGCATTGGCTACTCACTTCGGAACGAAGGGTTTCAGTGATGACAGCCCCAACTTGCTGATGGCCAGTCGCACTTTCTGCCCCTCCTCCAGAACCAAGAGGCCGTCCCTTTTTATGTAGAACTCTGCCACCTGAACAAAGTTTTCAGTAAATTAATAGAGCTCAACACACCAGTTGATGCAGACCTCCTAAACAAACTCTGGAAGAGACAAAGGAATGCCACGAAAGTTGAGAATGATCCTATTCTTGCTCTGTCCCTTTAGCTCAGTCGGTACGGCGACCAATCTACTGGTTATGAAAAGGGAGAAACCGGCTCTGGAACCCACCCAACTTCCTATCCAGTGGGTAATGGAGGTAAAGCGGGAAGGGCGTGAAGCTAACCACTCACCTCCATCTAGTGTCAAAGTTAAGAATTGTAACTCTATACCTACACTCCCTCAATACGCCTTAGTAACGTGGTGCTTAGTTCACTGAGCACATGAAAAAAATGATTTTTTTGTCTTTTATCTGTCTTCGTACTACAGGATTTTCAGCACGCGACTTGTACTTCCGTTTCCTGTATTATGCTAATCTCACGTCAACAGATTCTCATGATTAGATGCATTGTAAGTAATTCGTGTGAATTCTCAAGAGTTAATTTCAAGTTGTACAAACTCTCCTTTTAATATTGGACGCCTCTGTAGATGAGCATGTATGGCTGCAACATAATTATCTACAGCGATTTCATTTCATTCGAAATTTCTATGAAGTATATCAGAACGGGCCCACATTTCTGGCCACATCACCTTAATTTGTACAGCTTGTGAGTCTGAGAACTGTGACACGCAGACAAGGGCCAAATTGTTTGTCCCCTACAAAGTGCAGTAGACGTGCCCCTGTGGCCTATGTCAACCCCGGGTAGGTATACGTATCTGCAGTGCATTAGCACAAACTGGGACAACTGACACAGTGGGGGATGACAGCAGAGGCCTCCGTGGCGCAATCGGCTAGCGCGTTCGGCTGTTAACCGAAAGATTGGTGGTTCGAGCCCACCCGGGGGCGACTCTTTTTTTTTTCCTAGTGCAACTTAAAAGATATCGGAATTTTGGGAAAAGGCCCTCTTCTGGATTTACCCTACCAAGAATTTGAATTTGAGAGACTACAAGATTAACCTTTAAGTTCTGCTTCAGAGTACAGCGTAAATCGAGAAGTGGTGATATTCTAAAAACGTATAAATATCACGCCAATTTGGTCGGATTAGACTTAAGATAAAGTTTGTGCATTAAACATAGGGGTGGATCCTGATTAACTCGGACGCACGGTACATTGAATTATTACAGTACTGCAGGCACAGCCTAGAACTTGAACTTCCTTCAACACCTCGACTCGGCTTTGCTTCTTTTGTTTTCCTTCCGTTTCTCAGTCACTACACCCACTGGGCTACGGGCTGGATAAGGGGAACTGGGTTTCCATTCCCGACAGATACACATTTCTCCCCCTTTGCACTGCCTCCAAACCTGTAGATTCTAAAGGGTTCTGAAAATGGTGTATAAAACTCTGAATTGCTGAATTTTTGGGATTTGTCCATCGTCCTGTATTCCCAAAATTAGAGAACACCGTTTCGGACACTTTATCTGTTTCCGTAATCAGGTGAGCCTTTGGTGACACCTACTGTGTTGTGTCCGTTAGAAAGAACTAACCTCAATCACCGGAAAACCAATGTCAGCACAACTACAGCTATGTAAATACCTGAGACCCAGGCTGTGTCGATGAGAGACAACAGGAAAATATGCAACATATAGTTTTCACCTCCCTCTCTATCTTAGTTTCAGGTTTGTGCATACGTTATCAAAATTTTTATTGCATATTTTCCTGTTACCTCCCATAGACAAAGCCTGGCATCAGGTATTTATATAGCTATAGTTGTACTGACATAGGCTGTCCAGTGATTGAGGTTAGCTCTTTCTAAGGGACCCAACAGAGTATGTATATCCCCACTTACCTGAGGACGGAAATAGATCCAGTTTCCGAAACGTTGTGATCTCTATTTTTTTTTAATATCGGACAATGGGCGAAATCCAAAATCCAGTAATTCTGAGTAGTCTCGTGCTCATTGGCTGCCCAGAGATCTTTCTCCAGATGAAAAGCCGTCGTGGCACGAAGGTTAAAAATGTGTACATCATCACGGTATAGTGCTTAATTATCTCCTGTAGTTTTCCTACTTGATGAAGTTCAGATTAGAAAGCGTAGGTGTAATTAATGCATTTTAATGTTATTGTCTTCTGGGATACATGGCCATGTATTCTAGTATGCCTTTAACGACGTTTCGGAGAAGGTGCTGCCTGCAACTTTTTTTCTTCTTTGGCACTACAGCCCCAGTGGGCCTAGGCCTACCTCCATGAACTTTTTCTCCGTTCACTTCGGTTTTTCTAGATCTTACACATTCGGTAGGACTCCTTGGGCGGATAATCAGCTCGTCGCAAGGTCTCTACCTGTACACAAACACAGAAAAACACACACACAAACTAAACATCCATGCCCTGAGTGGGATTCGAACCCACGATCCCGGTTTCCAAGCGAGCGAAGACAGTACATGCCTTAGACCGCTCGGCTACCGTGACCGGCGCCTGCAACTTTAGGATCCAAATTAATCGGAGCGTAGAAGGAACTGGTACCGCTAGAGTGGAACTACCGCACGTGGGGCCCCCAGAGAACTGTGAGGAAGCCTGTGTCCCTTTCCTTTTCAGAACAGAAAGGGCTAAAAGATTTGTGTGGCCTTCTTGTTGCTATCAGTTCGCTCAGTCCTCCCCCCCCCCCACCACTTGTACCCCTCCAGAAAAGCCACGGCATCGCATCCCGCGAGACACATGCATCATGTCTTGATATTGCGCTCTCCTAACGCAAAACAGTTCCGTTGTAACATTTTATAGCCTACCTTAATTAATGTAGCAGTCCCAATTAGGACAGAATGTAATTAATTTCATCCGATTAGACCCCTTGAAATTAATTACATTCAGACTAGAGCTAGTTCATTTGTGAGGGAATTAGTCCCACTCGTGGCTTAAGGAACAAGTCCTGAATTAGTTGCGAGACAGGAAAAAACTTTCAGGGGGACGTTTTCTGACCCACGCTACACCAAAATGTAATTATCCGAAGCGCTGAAGGCGGCTGAAATTCCCCCTGAAGTCTATAAGCGTGGGTTTTGTCTCCTCATTAGTAGCCTCCGAGTCCCCACCAATTCATTCATTCATTCATTCATCAGTAATCTGTCAGACGACTCTCTTCCAAAACAGTTCCTCCACTTAATGCGATCTTCTGTTTTTGGAATCAATTAAAATCTGGAAGGGGGCGCCTCTCGTCCAGAAATTTGTAAGTGAGGGCGCATTCTATTTACAATCTTCACTCGTCAAAGATGGAGGTGTTCGAATGTCGCTGCGGCCAAATTTTGAAATTATTCTCTTTATCACTATTGGGGCCATCAGCGAACTGTACGTAAAATTCAGTTACTGCAGCCATTTAACATGTGAGGCACGCGGTAGCGTAGTTGGTTGAGGCACTATGCTACAAGCCGGGTGGTCGTGGGTTCGACTCCCGATGAGGTGACTTTTTTTCAGTTGACCTAATCCTTCCAGCCGCAATATAGCCCTGGGGTCGATTCAGCCTCTAACAGAAATGAGTACCAGGAATCTTCTTGTGGAAGGAAGGGCGGCCGGAGCGTAAGGCTGACAACCTCACTGTCATCTGAGAGCCTCGGCGTCTCACAACCCTATAAGCCTCCACGGCCTGTTACAGAGATAGCTCTACCTTTTACCTTTTCAGTGAACCAGTGTTTTGTAAGCAAGGAAAAACGAGCGTCTGCCAGTGTAGCCACCTTAATAAAGAATACGTGGAGAAACAGAATACAGGCTTATAATTGTGAATGTAAGAATAGAAGTAGAGAGGGAATGTTGAACATCAGCGGGTATTCACCACCTTCAATCAAAATGGAGTGTATCCGACTAATCTTGTTGTCTCTGATGATATGAAAATTACAAAACCTTTCTTCAAGCGTGAGTATACACATGCATTGTCCCAAAGATATACAAGAGCAACAGTTCACTATATAATGGCTAACAAAAAGCTTTGCCCTCTCAGTAAAGCGTACAAGGGTTTGCAGTCTCAGCGACATTGCATTACGCGACTTCTTAGTGCTCTCAAGCGTCACAAGTTTTAAAAGATGAAAATATAATACAACTACAGCAGAAAGCAATGTCAAAAGAAGCATATAAAACATATTTACTAAGAAAATAGAGTATTATAACAGAATGTATCTCTATATAGAGGATATTAACCTAAATAGTAAAACTAATCGAGCTTAGGAAAATTACAGCTGCTGACGCGCCGGGGGGGGGGGGGAAAAAAAAGGAAAANGGGGAACAGAAAGGAAACGCATGCTATAGAAGAAATAGTCATATACCGTAAGGGGTAACAGGAACCAGCAAATTTGGAGTCTGCCACGGACATAGCTCAATACAAATTGAAGCCAGTCTTAATGAACAGAGAAATTAACAATCGACACAGACATCACGTGACAGATCTCGAATATAATGTACATGGACCCCAAAATGAGGCCTATAATTCAGTAACACAGCGTGACTGAAGCCAGTGGCTCTACCCCAGTGGCAAAATATCAACAAGATGCACAGGCAAGTAGACGAGAAGGAACAGTGGCATTAGTTGAAAACGGTCCCGTCTTCGGTCCCCTTGCCTTGGCCTAACTGTGGCTGTCTCTACAACATTTTTCAAATGTGGGGTCTAGACGATATAAATACAGAATTAATGAAAGAAAACTGCACCACCCGCCTTTCTCTGGAAATTTTTAAATTTTTGAAGTACCTAAATAAAAATGGAGGTGTTACCATATACAAACTAACTGTCTCTATGGAGCCGAGCCGTTCTTGAGAAGCCGCCAGTTGCACAGTTATTCAAGAATTTCCCAGCATTTTTTGGAACCAGAAAGTTAATTTCCATGTTCACAAGGGCCTTCCACTGGTCCCTATTCTGAGCCAGATTAATCCATTCCATACAACCCCATCATATCTCTCCAAGATTCACTTTAATACTATCCTCCCAACCCACGTCTTTGTCTTACTAGTGGTTCTTTCCTTCTCTCTTCTCCCCCCCCCAAAAAAAAATAAATCCCATATCCCTTAGATAGTATGGCTGCAGTTGATGCACGGTCAGGCGGATAGGGATTGCTGCTGATTGTTTCTTATTTAGGCTTCTTGAGACGAGACAGAGTCAGTAAATAGCTCACAAACGGAAGTAAAGCAGCTGTAATGGACGTAATATGCTATGTGTTTCACTAGGTAGCAGCACCGTCCAGCTTCATGACAGTCCAGGTAGCAGACGCGCATGCTTATGTGTAGAGGCTGGTTTCAGTAGTCTAAATGACGACCGTGCTTGAGTGCACTACCGTAGAGAAGCGTTCTGTTGTGCTTTTGTCTTGTGGACAAAAGAACTCAATGCAAAGGATATTCATAAAGAAATGTTTCCTGTTAACGGTGGGAAGTGTGTGTCGAGTAAAGCGCTTACACCTTGGTGGGAAACGTTTTTCTGATAACGAAGAGGTTGAAACGGAGGTGCGGAAGTGGCTGAGACAACAGTCAAGAGACTTCTGCGCTGCTGGTTTCGACGCACTGGTAAAGCGATGGGAGAAGTGTGTTGATGTTGGTGAAGGATCCTTCGAGAAATAATTTTTTCCCCCAGTTTCCAATATCACATGTTCTACGTTTCACATCCATTTACTGACTCTGCCTCGTATCCGATCATAGCAGTATTAAAGCTTCATTCAGAATTCAATGAACTGAATCTCGCCAACAAGCGTCGGGGCGTGTAGGATACGAAGCGGACCACAGACCTGCAGGAGGGCTCTCAGGGGCACGAGGCCGACAATCTCGGAGCCGACGACAGGCAGACTCAGTGCCGCCGCATCCTTGCAGACCTCCTCGTAAGCCAAATGGATGGGCGTGACGTCATGGTCGGTGAGATTGAGAGACACCTGCGCCATGTTGGCCTCTTCCAGCCACCAGCCCATCCCCTGTACAGCAGGCAATCTGCCCGGTTCCGACTTGCCGCGTCCCCGCTCCCGGATGTTCAGCGCAATCCTGCGTCAGAAAACATTGCAGCAACTGAACTTCACTGCACACTGTTCGTGCCCCGATCAGACCACCAACCCCCAAGTTTTCTACGTGGATGCCAAGAGAGTACACTGAAATAAGCTACGACATTTTCCTTCAAAATCCTTACCTATACTACATTCACGATCAACTTGATCGAGCCAGCTGGCTCAGCGGTAACGCTTCTGATTGGCATCATTGCGATAAGATGTCCATTATATAATACGGAGTATTTCAAAAGGGGTACAAGCTTTAAGGGCACATATCACTCACTCAATTGAGTTGTTGCATTTGACTGGAAGCTAGGGTACCGCTGCAGTATGCATGAAGAGGTCAGCGCGTTCCCTTGCATGTGCTGTGACGGGATCAGTACACTCAGTAAATGCTCTACTTGCGCACTGCTAAGGACAAGGCAGTGACAGTTGGCGCTGCGGTGCTCTTTCGTTTTGAAGTCCGTTTTGTGTGGCTTGTTATTCTGCTCGGGGAATGACAGTCGTGCGTTTCATGTGTGGCTCTGCCACGTCCATCCCACAAATTATTCAGCAAACTTCATCGGCATGCATGATGTGGAACCACTTCATTTCGTTCGGTTTACCAGACAATACTTGAAGCAGACTTTTGGCGAACAGTGGACACGACGCGGCCTGCATGATCTCCTGACCTCAATCCCCCACTAAACAGTTCGGTGTATTCAGTGGCATTACAACAAGACAGACTCAACTGGAACTGTGAATCTCGACACAGTGTGGACATCTCTGTGCGACAAAGTCGAAACGCCTGGGAGTCACACAGGGCGTCTGCTGTACAGATCACAGGTACATCGCCCCTATATTTGCTCATTCAGGCGAGTGCTACACGACCTTTAAGCCTCTGTATTTGAAGCTGCTTGCTAACCTCGTGCATTTCTTATGTTTTAAGAATGTTAGATAATTATATGTTTAAGCTTATCGAATAAACTTGGCCCTTTTTTTATTATTGCTATTGGGGTGGGACTAAGTCCCTTATACTGCGGCCACTTCTGGCCTATTGTACCAGCCCCAGATGATAGGTGAAGGTGATTGTGGACCAATTGGTGGAATGAAGATTGGCAAGGGAAACCGAAGTACTCGGAGAAAACCTGCCCCAGCGCCACTTTGTCCACCACAAATCCCACTTGAGCAGACCCGCGATCGAACCCGGGCCGCCGCGGTGGGAAGCCAGCGACTAACCGCTTGAGCTATGGCGCGGCCAACTTGGCCCTTAGTTCGGTACTCCCTGTGCCATTATAATTGACGGTGTAAGAGGAACGCGACTCAATTTGAAGAACTCCTTATACTGCCACCGGTATTTTTCTCCGTTCTGTTGTTAAATCGGCGCGACAACTATATTTTGCGTTCACTAATGTTTAAACACTTGAGTAGACGTTCATTTTCAGTGAGCTCTAACACAGTGTTTCTCATACCGTTGGGCCGCGGTCTCACAAAGGTGGAGAGCCACTGCTCTAACATATCTGGCAGTTACATTACGGTCTAAGGCTAGTTAGTGTGTGTGGTGCATGCAGCATTCTTATATTGTCACGTGTATGAATGACTTTCGGACTTGCAACAGCGGCGAAAAGCGCTCAGTCATCTCACCTGTGTGCTTGTTCTCAGCCTGGAAGCTTTTCCGACTTGCAACAGCGGCGCAAAGCGCTCAGTCTCACCTGCGTGCTTGGTCTCTCAGCCTGGAAGCTTTTCCGACTTGCAACAGCTGCGCAAAGCGCTCAGCCTCACCTGCGTGCTTGGTCTGTCTGGAAGCTTTTCCGACTTGCAACAGCGGCGCAAAGCGCTCAGTCATCTCACCTGTGTGCTTGGTCTCTCAGCCTGGAATCTTTTCCGACTTGCAACAGCGGCGCAAAGCGCTCAGTCTCACCTGCGTGCTTGGTCTCTCAGCCTGGAAGCTTTTCCGACTTGCAACAGCGGCGCAAAGCGCTCAGTCTCACCTGCGTGCTTGTTCTGTCAGCCTGGAAGCTTTCCCGACTTTCAACAGCGGCGCAGAGCGCTCAGCCATCTCACCTGTGTGCTTGTTCCTTCGTAGCAATTAGGTTGACGTTATAAGCAATGAGGAACTGCCTGACCCCCACCATGGTGGCGCCCCACTGCGGCACGAAATTTGAGGGACCAAAATCTGGCTCCCATTCTGCGGTCTTGATCTGCGAACATAATGAGCATTTTATTTTTTTCCTGGGGTGAGCCTGAGTCCCCTTGGTACTGCGGCCACTGTTTGGTCTATTGTGCAAGCCCCAGATGATAGATGATGGTGACTGTTGTTAAATCAGTGGAATGAGAATTGGCAGGGGAAACCGAAGTACTCGGGAAAAACTTGCCCCAGTGCCACTTTGTCCACCATAAATTCCACGTGACCTGACCTGGATTCGAACACGGGCCGCTGTGGTGGGAAGCCGGCGACTAATCGCCTGAGCTATGGCGTGGCCAACATGATAATTACTAGCAGATTCTAAAAAGTTCTGACGATGTTGTATAACTCTCATAATTACTGATTTGTTGAACTTTGTCCACTGTCTGTTATTCTAAAAAGTTTTATAACACAGGGTTTCTGAAACTGGACCTGTCTACGTCCTTAGTGATTCAGGTTAGCTCTTTCTGAGGGACCCAACCCAGTAGGTGTCTCCCCCTCATCTGAAGACGGACACAGATGCAGTTTCCGAAACGTTGTGTTCTCTAGTTTTTTAAGAATGGTAGTTCTCAGCCATGATTACTGTCATCGAGCAAAGAGAGAGATTTCGCCCCCTAGTTTCGAACCTTTCACAGGAGAGTTCGGCGGATTTCTATCCGGACACTGTTTACATATCTCCCCAGGCTAGAGGCGTGGGGCCTTCTCCGAAACTCATCTCTACTGCAATAAATTTCCACAGCTCTGAAGGGGCACTTGCAGCTTCTTGTAAAGTGAGGGGAAAAAGTCCGAGCAGTGCTTCTCAACCACCGGGCCGGGGCCCAAATTGTACTGGGCCGCGAGAGGCTCTTCTGGTATTTGTCATTTTCATTTTCTAAGCACTTTTGTTGAATAAATATTTTACACTGGAAATATTCCGAGGAGAATAATATTTGTGTCGAGAAGCTCAGACACAGAACACCTAAATCTGTGTAGCAAATGTTAGTGACCAAGCAGCATATTTTTAAACATGGAAGTATTCGTGAATGATCAGGAATTTTCAGATATCCAAATCTTTCAACAGTCGGGAAAGGCAATACCGATCTTTATGACCAGTCATAAAAATTGCCTGCAAACCGATTACAACAATGGGCGGCATATCCTCTGTTCTCACAACTGGGCGAAATAACACCTGTGTTGCAAATGTCAGTGACCAATCAGCAAGGAAGTATAAAGAAAATAGTTCCACTGAAATTGAAGATCAAGGCAGTCTGTATCCGGTTCTCACATCTAGTAATACTGAATACTGTTTCTTCGCAAGTTCGCATTGCAGTGTGTAAGTGCTTGTTTCGAAACCTGAGTGATTTAAATTTTAATATGAATAAGAGACAGGGGACTTTGTTTAATTTTGCTGTTAAGAAATCTCGTATTGAAGGTGTTTGTGATTCTTTGATTGCTGCTTGTAATGAAGTATTAGGCCAGTCTGCGGCAAGTAAAATGAAAGATATCCCATTGTCGAATGATACAGTTGGTAGGCGGATATCTGATATGGCAGAAGGTACAGAAACGCAAGTCATTCAAAAAAATTAAAAAATCGAAATTGTTTGCATTACAACTGGACGAATTTACAGATATTCAGAAGAGCAGCATTTTACTTACGTATGTACGATATATTGACCATGATGAGAGTGACATGAAGGAAGACATTTTAAGTGTTTCTGAATTACCTACGCACACTGCCAGCAGTGAAATTTTCAAAGTTTTAAATGATTTCATTGAAGAGAGAGGTCTCAAATGGAAAAACTGCGTTGGAGTTTGCAATGACGGCGCTGCCTGTCCAACAGGTAGAAATTCAGGTTTGGTCACTAAAATTAAGGATATGGCGGGCAATAACTTAGTGTCAATACATTGCTACATTCATAGGCAAAACCTGGCCTCCAAAAAAAATGGCACCTGAGCTTAATGAAGTCCTGTCTCAATCTGTTAAGATTATTAATTAATATAAAAACAGTGCTTTAAATACAAGACTGTTAAAAGCATTGTGCGATGAAATGGGCTCTGATCATCAAAATCTTATTATCCGTTAGGAAGTTCGTTGGTTGTCCCGCTGTAAAGTTCTCAAGAGGTTATATGAACTCCGAAAGGAAGTCGAGCTCTTTCTAATTGATATGAAAAGTAACCTGTCCCATTATTTCCAGGATAAGAAATGGGTAGCCAGGCTGGTGTATCTCAGCGACATATTTTCTTACATGAACGAGTTGAATTTAAAACTTCAAGGTCCAGATATAACAATATTTAATGCGTGGAACAAGATCGAATCACTCAAAAAGAAACTCAAACTCTGGCTTAATATGATTGCAGAAGGAAACAGTGAAATATTTCAGTCGTACTCAGATTATATTATGGAAGCAGATGATTTCTATTCACAGAATTCAGTTTCAGATATTATTGCAGCCCACTTGAAGATGTTGTTGTCGTTTGAAAAATATTACCCCGAACATGAGGATCCCCGGAGGCAAAATATGTGGATTGTGAACCCTTTTGTTGAACACAAAGAGACAGCCCTTTCCCATGAAGAAATCCTTCAACTTGTTGAATTATCATCGGACAAAGGACTGGAAAGTACCTAATACTTCGAGTAATTCGAAATTCTGGATAAGAATGAAAAATTATTATCCAAATTTACATGAAATAGCGGTGAGGTTTCTTCTTTGTTTTTCCACCACATATCTTTATTAAACTGCATTTTCTGCCATGACTGTGCTTAAAACGAAACAGAGGAACTGCCTGCAACTTTCTGAGTGTCTCCGTTTGGCTCTCACTTCAATTCATCCCAGAATTAATAAGCTAACGGACGGAAAACAGAAACAGAAGTCTCACTAGCCTAACTAAAACCTCCAAACTCCGTTGTGATAAAAAAAATAAGTTTAACTTTCCAATTACTTACGAGTATAATTGCTGTATTAAAGTGCTGCGTCTTTAAAATCAGAATATTAATTAGTGTTGGAAGTAGTGTTTATAATTGAGAGATTCATACATTTTTATTTATCAAATTACATACTTTACATATATAATTATTTGGCGTGTGTATGTGATAAGTGTTTCACCGTCAAGTTGACATCCTTCTGCTTCCTCCCCTACTCAGCTGACTTCTATGGTGAGTTACAATGCATAAATATTATTCTCACTGCCGTTTTTTCAAACCAACATCATTAAAATCAATTTAATAATACAATAATCAATTTTACGCTGAATAACGTAAGTTTTGGTGATCAGCATGGGATATGTCAATGAAAATTAGCACAAATTAATTTAATGATGTTGGTCTGAGGAAACTAGAAAATGCTACAAGATTTCATTAGTCCAGTGATTGATAACTAATTTAAATGTAATTTTATGTTTGTCAACATGCCACACCGTATACATAAGTGTACTAATATTCTTTATGATTATGCTGTAATTAATTACTAATATTACGTTAGCTTAATGCATGGACTTTAACAAAACTGGAAAGGTATTTAGGAGTAAATTTGTTGGGACTGGGCCCTCGTCTTATAAAAAAAAGAACTTACTGGGCCGCGGTCTCACAAAGGTTGAGAACCACTGCTATAGAGAATGGCAGAAATTTTGGAAAGCCCAGATGAGACAGCTAGTGGTGCTCTAATTTGAGATGAGCTGTGGGGGCGCAGTTTTCCAACACTGCCTCATTTGGCCAAGCGAGAGTTGCTGTTTGAGTGCTATTTCGTCACCAAGAACTGAACTCTGGTAGTGCACAGTATCTGCCGAAAACCTCTGAAATTACAAACCAAGACGACAAATTTCTGACCACATTGTTGTGTATCGAGTCGGTTGGTTTGTTGCTTATTTATCGACGCTTTCAGGTAACGACGGATGATAAGATCATTAATGAATGATGCGATGCCTACAGTTCAGTCCTGAGGGAAACAGTCACAATCCCACTGAGTTAATCCAATCACTTTTCCTTGCGTCCTACTCCACCCGTATCACGTAAACTTGTATCTGCTGACTGACTGACTGACTGACGGTAACACGGTCAGCACAGTTAGGAATTATGGATTCAAACTACCCGATCCAGGAACAGGCCATCATGACCTAGAATTTTCGAAATTTTCCTCAGTCTCTCCGGGGAAAGTCCCTCAAATTAGGCCACCACCACTGTCATGCACATCCTATTAAATCGGTTATTCACATACCGGCCTATCATCTGACGTCAAGTAATGTGAGCTATAGGAAGGGTCGTTATGGAGGACTAGACAAGAAAAGGCTATTTGAGAATCTTGTGATTCAGACCATCGTGTAGAATCCTATCCCAACTCACTCTGGTGGCCAGGGCCTCGTACTCTCCAGCTCTGATCTGTGCTACAGTTTTGCGATAGTCCCGCGAGGAAGCAGCACCATACAGATATACGGGAACATCAAGTTCGCTCGCCAACAGGTGGCCTAGTTGCTTCGCGCACGAAACACACTCCGCTACTGTGATGTCACGCACTGGGATGAAAGGACAAACGTCCATTGCCCCCAGCCGTGGGTGCTCCCCTGCAACAGAGCAATTTTCACCCCATAATTGTGGCTTGTTGGACCACACAGGTGTCTAGTTGAAAATTACGGTCTTACAGATTGTGATGCAATGTAGTCTGGTCGATCATTACCGACGTTTCGGAGGGATGTCCAACCTTCATCTTCAGGGTAGAAGAGGTTTTTGATTCAGTTTGTCAGGCCCTGTGTACATCACCCTCTTTAAGGTGCGAATCTGCCGCTATCCTTTTCCGGTGCTTATTTTTCTTCCCATTCTGCCCGAAGCCCCAGTAAATGTCTACCAAACTACATGGCGTCACATCCCAAAATTCAGTAATTTTTATAGTTACAGACGCAAGAACCTCAAATCCCACCACATAATTACGAGGGAGAGTCAATAAATATGACAAATTGAAGTAGAGCAATTGTAGTGGCCGTTAGAGGTTGTTCTGTGTGTATCACTAGGTAGCAGCACAGTCCAGGTAGCAGACGCGCATGCGCATTTTCAGATATTTGTTTCGGTAATCAAAATGGTGACCGTGCTTGAGGGGTATATTACCGAAGAGCAGCGTTCTGTTGCGCGTTTCTTGTGGCCAAAATGACTCAATGCAAAGGGTATTCATAAACAAGTGTTTGTCGCGTGAAGCGTTTCACAGTTGGGTCGATAAATTCTCTCGAGAACGTTCGAAAGTCGCATATGATGCCCGACCAATGGCGGAAGTGGCTGAGACAACAGTCAAAATTCTTCCATTCTGCTGGTTTCGGCGCACTGGTAAAGCGATGGGACAAGTGTATCAATGTTGCTGTAGGATATGTCGAGAAATAAAATGGTTTCCATGTTCGAATATCACATGCTTTGCGTTTTATATCCATTATATATTTACCGACTCTCCATCGTACACTGTTACACAGTCTCGAATTGCCATGTTTCGCGTCTTGTTGTGTCACTACTATGTGAATACGACCGGCGATAACAACAATTTTACTCTTCAGTGAATTAACTGATATGCTCGTCTGTCGACAAAATAAGCCGGTTTACTAAGACGTTACTTTTGGCCGCGCCACACCTCAAGCGGTTAGTCGCCGGCTTCCCACCGCGGCGGCCCGGGTTCGATCCCGGGTCTTGTCAAGTGGGATTTGCAGTGGACAAAGTGGCGCTGGGGCTGGTTTTCTACGAGTACTTCGGTTTCCCCTGCCAATCTTCATTCCACCAGATTCTCCGTCATCATAATCACCCGGGGCAGAGTACAATAGGCCAATCGGCGGCCGCCGTGCCGAGTGGACCCAGTTGGACTCCACCCCCCCACTAAAAAAAGAACTAAAAAGAACGTTACTTTTGCTGTATGTTTCTATAATTTACGACCATCATCAGGCGTCTATAATCAGTAACACATCTAGTATGTTCATTCCTGGATCCATTGTTAAATACTCCTCGCAGTGGCGTAGTAAGTTGAGGCACTATGCTACAAGCCGGAAGGTCGCGGGATCGATTCCCCATGAGGTCACTGGATTTTTCAGTTGACCTAATCCTTTCAGCCGCACTAGGGCCTTGGGGTTGACTCAGCCCCTAACAGAAATGAGTACCAGGAATCTTCCTGGGGGTAAAGGGCGGCCTGTACGTAAGGCTGACAACCTCACCGCCACCTGTGAGCCGATTGTCTAGATAATGTGGGAGCCTCGACGTCTCACAACCCTATGGACCTCCACGGCCTGTTACAGGAATACCTTTACCTTTTTTAATTGCTAAGTAATCTTAGTCATGTAAAAGTTTTTACATAGGATTACAGTATTTAAATATATTAAAATAGTTATCTAAATTAACAAAGTTTGTTTTAAAATTATTGTTATTTTTGTAAACGTTATCCTAATATATATGTGGTTTTTATGGGTGGAATGGAGTCGGGGAAATGGTGCATATGTACCCTATATGATGTGTTCTGGAAACTACGGCCTCTATGGGGACTTTGGCATAATATGAGTGTACGTTGTCGGTGCTACTTCTTGCACGTATATAGTATATTGGTGGGGAAAGCCAGAAGGAAAGAGGCAAGTAGGTAGACCAAGCCGTAGGTGGGTGGATAATATTAAAGTGGATCTTTGAGAGATAGGATGGAGTCGTATGGACTGGATTCATCTGACTCAGGATAAGGACCAGTGGGGGGCTCTTGTGAACACGGTAATGAACTTCCGGGTTCCATAAAATATTGAGAAATTCTTGAGTAGCTGAGCGACTGGCGGCTTCTCAAGATGGGCTCAACTCCATGGAGTTGCTTGGTTGGTTGGGTCAGGACAGCCACTCGGCCGAAGTGAGGGAACAAGGGGTATGGGAGACAGCGCCAGGCAGGATGAGATGCTAACTAGCGATAGTTAAGCCTGCAGCGACTTCGCAACAAAAACTGTATCCCCATAAACAACGGCAATAAAACAATAAATTAAATTACGCAATGTGGAAAGAATGTGTGCTCAGTACTTCGTAGGGGCGGGCCTCAGCTGCTGCAAGCAGGACAGATTCCGCGAGGCAGACATCTTGTATTCAGAGAGCTTACGCTTCCCGCATGTGTCACATTGCCATGCTAGTGCTGCCGTCAGTTGAGAATCACGAAGGCTTCTAAAATTTCATACATTCGGAACGGACGGGTTTCCCGTTTAATCCATCTTTCTGTTTACGCAGGTGTTGCGTTTCCATGTGGGCTCTACGTTCACTTTCACACCACGAAACGTCCTTAATCATCCAGTTTTCAGGTCCTAACTTCAAGAGAGGATTTGTCCAGTTATCGGTTTTGCAGAGCGAGGCACGCCCACCTCTGCCATCTGTCGGCAACATACCCGTACCTCCAGCTCCCGCTGAAGGCCTCACTGTGCAGTGCGAGCTGGACGCCGTGACGTGTGGACAAATACATGTGGCTTCCTTATGCCGCGACTGACGATGGTATAGGTCAAAGGAAACATTTATAAATAAACTAACTCGTAAGTAACGGTACATGTGCACAGTCAGGAATTATGCGTGGGCCTTTGCAGCCTTCAGACAGAGTGAATCCCTGGGTTCAAACCTAGAATCCCTGGTTGGACATTGTTGGTGGGAGATCTGTGGTTTCTTGCGGCGATGAAACACCACGCTGTCTGACACGTGATAGCGATACCACTACCGCAGTTGATCCACCCAGCCTCCTATTCAACGGGTACCGTGACTAAAGTTGCCGGGGCTTGAGGGTGACTGCTGACCTCCAAGTAGTGCCCAGATCAAGGAAAACGTGGTTCTATATAGCCACTTTCCCATACGCCTTCATGGCTTAGTGCTTAATTACTTAAGCACAGGAACAACTTTACGGTTTACCACCGTTCATCCCTGTGTTCTGCTTCTAAGCCATCGCGGTTCTTGGGCTGTTTTTACTCGGAAACACTTGCTCCTTTAGGCTGGGGCCACACGAGCGCACAAAATGCGTCCGTTGTAGAAATAAACGAGAGAGGCGAATGCTACGCTTTCTTCTGGCTCCATTGCAGACAAAAAACTACGCACCGCATTCTGCACCTGTGTGGTGTTCTCAGCAACGTCCGTTACAACGGGCGCATTTTGTGCGCTCGTATGGCCCCAGCCTTAGGCACTGGGTGGGATTGGTTGGACGCCGTGTCAGCCCAGTGTGGGCTCACGTACAGAGCACAGAAACAAACATGGACACACAACGGCCGCTACGGACAGAGATTCTAATCTTGAATCTGAACAATGCAAGACGTGAGACCAGCAGGCATTTCAGGAACAAAAAGAAGGAATATCTGAAAGACAAAATTGATGAGCTTGCAATGAACAGTAAGAACAAGAACATCAGAGATTTGTATGGAGGAATAAATGACTTGAAGAGGGGTTACCACTCTAGCAGTAACTTAGTGATGGATGAGAATTGTGATCTGCTTGCAGAGTCCCACGACATTTTGAATAGGTGGAGGAACTACTCTCAGTTATTGAATGTACATAGGGTCAGTGCTGTTAGGCAGACAGAAATCCATACAGCTGAGCCGTTAGTACCTGATCCAAGCCCTTTTGAGGTTGAAAGTGCTATTGCGTGAATTGAAACGGTATAAATCGCCAGGTAGTTATCAAATTCTGGCAGAACTTATTCAAACAGGAGGTGAAATATTACGTTCTAAGATCCATAATCTAATTACTCATATTTGGTATAAGGAAAAATTGCCTGATCAGTGGAAGGAGTCTATTATTGTACCAGTTCACAAGAAGGGTGATGAAACTGCCTGTAGTAATTATCGGGGGATATCACTGCNTCGTATCCAGAATGGTCTAACACAAGGAGAAGCTTTAACACAATTCCTTTTTAACTTTTCTTTGGAATGTGCCATTAGGAAGGCCCTCGAACATCTGTCAACTGCATTTTGTAACTGAGTTTTAGACCTCGTCAGAATGAAGCCACTAATTATACCGTGTTTTATAGCATGCTTATTGTGGGGTGAAACTGCCAGGTTCCATAGGACTTAAGCAGTAAACAGCTCACTGTTTCAGCCCCGGAGACAAGAGCAATGAAGCATTTGGTGGAATGAGAATTGCCAGGGAAAACCGAACTACAGTAAACCCTCCCTAATCCGTTACACTTAATCCGGATAGAAATATGGAAAATTCTGTTCACAGTTGAGTACAAACTTTGAAAGGCACGTGACATTTAGGAGCAAGAGGACTTTCAGTCTGTGTTGAGGGCAGCTGGAGGGACTGAAATCACGCAAGAACGTATCCAAGATTGGCTTGAGCTGGATGAGGGAGACCCTGGATTTCAGCTTCTGACAGAGGAAGAAATTGCTGCGGTGATTTTTTTTTTTGTTTTTATATTCATCAGCACTACCTATACGAGTATTATTAAAGTTTTCATTTTTTTTTCTAGTTTATTTTCTTGTCTTTTCGGGTTCATTCATAAATCCGAATTAGCGAGGGTACACTGTACTCCGGGGAAGTTGTGCCTCAGGTCCAATTCGTCCAACACAGTTAGGACATTAAGTCACACGGGACTGAACCCGGTCCTCCTCGGTGAGAACGGAGTGTCTTCCCGTCTGAGTTACGGCCGGCCGGCCGGCCGTTCACCGGTGAAACCAGGCCGACAACTGGTTCGATTCAAACTGCAGCCTCACCTCACCTTTGTGAACTGCCATGTCGATAAGTCTGTGCGCCGCCTTGGCCCCATTGAGGGCCCCCTTCACGACTGCCTCCGGATCCCCCACGAACGTGTACACTGTCCTGTTTGTAGAGGCACCGGGATCGACGTCGAGCAGAGTACATCCCACTGTGTCACGGATGGCTGTTGCAATGGCATCGATGACCTGCGGGCAGTGGAAACAGGCTGAAGCGACAGCAGCACCTCCCCATATTATAGCGCCCCGTTTCAAGAATTGTCCAAATTGGTGACCACCGTGGAGGATACACAGGTCATATACTCCAGTTCAAGGTCACAACACCGTTTTCTCTTCCGTTGACAACCCGGCAAACTTGCTATGGTAACTCACAACTTAAAATGTTAGTTCTGCTTTTGCCACGCGGTAGCGTAGTTGGTTGAGGCACTGTGCAACAGGTCGGAAGGTCGCAGGTTCGATTGCCGATGAGGTCATTGGATTTTTCAATTGACCTAATCCTTCCAGCCGCACTATGTCCTTGGGTTTGACTCAGCCTCTTAACAGAAATGAATACCACGAATTTTCCTGGGATAATGGGCGGCCGGCCAGCGTGTAGGCTAACAGCCTCACCGCCTTCTGTGAGCCGATTGTCGGGAAAATGTGGGAGCTTCGACGTCTCACAACCCTATGGGCCCCCACAGCCTGTTACAGGGATAGCTTCACCTGTACCTCTATATGACTTCAGGCAATCCTCCTACCTGTAGTTGCCCCCCCCCCGATCAGTCTCTGAATTACGTAACAAGCAGGGTAGCGCGGTACCGGTTCGGGCTTGTATTCGAGAGATGTTCGGCTAACCTGACTGAGAAATTTCGTGGCTTTTCTCAGTCCTTCCGCAGCTGTGTAGTCCGAGTTACATACGTAACTATATATGGCTACATAAATACGTAAATGAGATGTTACAATTGCAGCCCCCCGTTGTGATCGTATCCCGAAATTATCTCTGTTCACGGATCAGTTTATTATTACTGTTATTATATTGTTGTTATTATTATTATTATTATTATTATTATTATTATTATTATGTTTGTAGGGACGTTGACGTCTTTGGACCAAAAACTCTGCTGAAACATATTTTATACTGAATTAATTAAAATATTATTACTATTGTTATTATTATTATTATTATTATTAGTAGTAGTAGTAGTAGTAGTAGTAGTAGTAGTAGTATTGTTGTATACTGCTGTAACCGTACTGCCAACCTCAGTTTTATTTAATTTAGTATCATGTATTGATCCATGTCAATTACCATGTTCGATTAGGTTTACTTGTAACATGCAGCAAATGGACGAGAGGTACATAGGCTATTTCTTGCTCTCAAGGAGGAGTTTAGCCAAACTCTCGAATGAACATGACAAAAGAAAAACGACTGGTCAACGCAGATACAAAGTGAAACAGGAAGGACCCCCACAGCTTGATTCCTTAGAATTTTACTCGAAATTTTGCTTGTCGGAATCCTTTGAGAATACCATATGTGACAGTTTTTGAACATCGTAACTTTTAGAGACGCGTGCCAGCAACTCACAGTAAGCTGGTGCGCTGTCAGAAACAACGTTAGGGCTTTTAGAGTCCAAATCCCCGCAAATCCTTAAACGGATTGGAGGAATAGTTAATGAAGTGTACTCCAATTTTTCAGAAGTGATCAATCCTCGAAATTTAAGGTATTGGCTTGGGGACTGAACCGAGAAAGTCATTCCGCTGAGTTAGGTGTTTTTCAACTCAAGAACCATCCGGACGCAAAATCTGCATCCCTCCGAAATTTGTTATAAATTATGTAAAATCTGTGGACTTACTACGCTTAAAGTATTCTAAAGTATAAACTGTGTGTCCCAAAGTGTGATTGAAACGGTAACTTAAAGTACCAGTTAAGTGGAATTTATAATATCGAAATTACACGTATATTTGAAAACCAGTAAACAGTTCAGTATTCAGACGAAAATCAGCGTGACACCTAACTTAACAAGCAAGTGTAATCAAGTGTTTCCAAGTCAATCATCACCCTAATAGGAATAAAGTGTATGTGTGTGTGTGTGTTATAACAGGAGTTTCCCACTTCCCTTCCTGAGCGAGACCCTGCCAATCGACCTGAGAACAGAACCTTAGCTCTACCGGAGAACTAGCTACCCTCATGAATCTCTAAACTGATAGTATCAGTTTACTGGCGCCCAAATTACAACCCGTTATCCCAAAGATCAGGGGTGTGTAAATGGTGATAAGTGGAACAGGGTAAAGCCAGCTGTAGCCGCCGCCTCCAGTAGCAGCCCAGCAGCCAGCGGCCGGTGACGACAGTTAATGTAAGTGGACGGAGAGACTGCTCTATTTGAAACTCGAATTGTTCTTCGCTGTCATATTGTGGCTTTGTCTGTATGCGTTTGTGTCTTTATTCATGCTCACTTTGTAATTAATGTAGTCTGTGATATTTTGTATTGTTTTTTAATTATTTCTGTGTATTTCTATCTATTCGTGCTAACTTTGTAATTGGTCTCTGTGCTGTTAAGTTTTCACGTAAATAAACACGAATTGAATTATTATTATAATTAGTAGTAGTAGTAGTAGTAGTAGTAGTAGTAGTAGTAGTAGTAGTAGTAGTAGTAGTAGTAGTAGTATCGTTGTTATTATTGTTGTTGTTATTATTATTGTTGTTATTATTATTATTATTATTATTAAAACAGTGTATTGAGACTTGTTCTGTGCTACATGACAAATGGAAAGTGTCTGGAACAATCCAATGATCGACACCAGTCGACACAGGGCGCAGCCAATGCCTTCCGCCCACCAAGATGCACTTGCGCCGACTCTCACTGAGGGCGCCACGGCGCGACATCGGAAAACACGGAAAGGACTCGGTGTGTGTTCTGGTGTGAAGACACACCTGCCACGTGCAGCTAGGACGCCTTGGGCTAGAAGCTGCCCACCTGGCTTTTGCGTGCATGAGTGGTACAAAGATGTGTTTGCGAGAAGGAAACAAGCAAACCAGGCGTCCACAGTGTTAAGACACCCGTCTGTCCGTAATCAACGTACTGACACTGAATATAGGCTTACCGCCCTCGAAATGTTTAGGGAGTGCTCACAGTGTCAGCAGCAGACACCCAGGAACCAGGAAGCGCTCGGCAAGGAGATGTCAGGACTGACTCAGCAGGCGTAGCCCGCACGCAAAATTCGCAGCGCGGTCGTTATGAAGACACCTTCTGGGCCAAGCCGCCGTGCAGATGGTTTTGTCTGAACAAACAAGTGACTCGTCTGCCTTCATAAATTCCACGTGTCTTGTAAAGTAGGTATTCAACTGTGAACAGAATTTTTCTAAGTTCGATCCGGACTGGCAAGGGTTTACAGGAATTATTATATATAACGAACGATCCAGAGTGTTTTTAAAATTAATTTTATTAGCCTGCGTGGAATTCTGTTTTAAAATTATTGTCACTTTGAATTGGGAAAGGAGATGCAATTGGTACGTCGGTGTTAAATGTTACACGAGTATTCAGGCTAAATCTTTTGATTGTATCTGAGATCTTGCAATGACATTTCAATAGATCACACGACTGCATGTCCCTGCAAACCGGAGTGGCTTTGCAACGGGAGCTTCTCCCGCGTCATGTGAACATGACAGGAAATTCGGGGCTAACGGACAGACATAACGAAGAGCAACGCCGGTATCTCTTGAATACCAGGAACAAGGAAACTTCGGCCTCTGATTGAAAACAGAAACGTGGTCTCGTCTTTCAGAACCGGACTCCAACATTAACAGGTGTTACATTGGGGAACGTAGGTTACCTTTCATGAGCGTTTCGCAGTTTTTCTCAGCCTCCTCCCCGGTTAATTCGAATATGTCACGCCCTCTTCCCTTACCCTGTCTCAGTTGTTCAGAACAATTTTCCCAGCAGATGCAATATAGTCTTCAGTTCTTAAGACGTTGCATTTCAGAATTAACTTCTGGCCACACTGAACCTTCTTACACATTCGCCATGGCACCTTGGATGGCTGGGGATCGGCCAGCCGCAAGTTTTCTGCCATGCAGAACGCTAGAAACACAGACAAACGCGGAGATAACATCCATGCACCGAGTGGAATTGGAACTCATGACCTCAGTAGTCGAGCTGTCGAAGACGGTAGGCGCAACCATTGTGACTGCTGATACGGTCACGTGATGGAGTGACTGTAGACGGGTTCTTGGTTGGTAATCGTATTTATTGGACACTCCAGGGAAGCGTTTGTGTTTGCATTAATCTGGAAGTGCCCCCCCCCCTCTTGCGGGCAGATCTTGTCCAAATACACAGCCGAGACGGAAACACGAAGTTGGTGACCTTCTGTGTGTTTGCTTGCTTACAGCATCTGTAAACAGGGACTCGAATGGCTTTTGTGCTAATTATGAATTCCTTTTCAACATCTCAGAATACACAGTGTTAGTAAAGCTCAAGAATGATAGCTGATGGACAGAGTCCTTCATGAGAAGGCGATAATGGCCCAGCCGGTAAAGAAGCTAACACGGAATCAGAATGTCACAGGAACCCAATACTTGAAGCCGTAATTAGGTAAATTCAGTCATATCCGAATACTCTGAAACGCCTTTGAATATTGTGCTTCTGCGTGCATGCTCTCTAATATGAGTGCAGATCCGGCCGTCTTGATATCATTGCTCCAGCTGACCAATGTGATGCGCTGTGCTTAGTAGTCGAGAAGTACCGGGTTCGAGAATTACCCTGTGGATCCTCCATCTTTTAAGATTTTTCGTGGTTTTCCTCTATTTCTCTAGATAAACACTGCATTAATATAGGCCACGACTCCGTCTCATCATTCATAATCATTCTACCATCCAAAGCTGTATAAAATATGACTTTCGAAAAGCGTCGTTAATTAAATCCAGAATGGCCCAATTGAACATGTGAAAGCATAGATTTTGTATTATTGCGTGTCTTGCCCATTGTTACCTCATTGTTGATATCGTTATTGTTGTGGCCATTTTTAGCCTACTTTCCTTATTTTTAAAAAATAAAAACAAGTTTATGAGATTACCTTGCTGTTTGTGGATCTCCCTCCTAACCTTTTTTCGTTTTCTATGCGGTCCGTATCGTATCGAAGGAAATTAGGTGATTAGTTCTTCCCAAATCTTATTATTATTGTTCTTATTACAATTACTACACTACTTTACTGGTTTG